AAAAAAAAAAAAAAAAAAAAAAAAAAAAAAAAAAAAAGTAGCATACATAACTTCAATACAGCGGATAGAAGCCCAAGCCAAGAAGATACGAAGTGACACAAGAACCTGTGCAGAGGCACCAGCTTATCCCAGAGGGGTCAAGGAAACTCCAGGGCAAATGACAGCTAAGCTGAGACCTGACAAGCAGAGGTAGGCCAGAATGGAAGGCAAAGAGAACAGAGCTGGCCCATACTATAACAAACACCAACCCTGTGCTCAAGGCCTCACACTCTACAGGGCTTTGAAGCCCATTTCTGTTTAAAAGAAAATACATAAAGGTGGTTTTGCAAAGGACTGGAACAATTCCTAGCCTTGCAGACTAATGGAGTAGAGAGGACCGACCCAGACCCAAACTTTGAGCAAAGCAGACACATGCTTCTCCTTCTAGATGTTTTCTCTCCCACCTAGATATAGAATCTGACCACTCCAGGAATGAAATAGTGAGGCCATTCTGGGAGGCTACATGTGGTTTTATCAGAGAGTCAAGTTTCCTTCTGGGGCATGGAACAAACCCTGTGGTTACAAAGACATGGAGGCCCAGGAGCCAAAAAGTATTTCAGGATTCAGAAGAGCCCAGTTCAGCTGTCTCTCTCTTTGAATTTCTATCATTTCCCTCTCCTAAAAAAAATGCATATTTTTATGCAAATTCTTACATCCTTGTTTGTTTCTATAGCCTTCGTTTTTCTTTAGAAAAAGGAAAAATAGGGTCCAAATCACAAAACAGTGCTCAGCTCAACACAGATCATGAAGTCAATATATCACTCAGCTTCTAGGGGATGCCCCTCATGTCAAGGCCACAAAGAAGGCTGAACTGCAGGACCTTAGGACAGCTACAGAACCACTGGCAGTACAGAGGTAGTGAGGAATTTTGGTGCACACCAATAAATGCTGCTGAAATCCTCCTTGTCTCCGTATGGATTACACCCTGCATTTGCACACTGCAGCTCTCAAGCCTCCTCACCTGCTCATGCTATACCTGCCCTGCTTAAGCTTCCTGCCACTCACCTCCAATCCCACCACACTGACCATTTCCCACTTTGTGTGTTTCATAAGCAAACTTTGTCTCTAGGTGTGGCTGAAATGGATCCTGAACCTGTAGAAGTGGAGGTTAATGCTGATAATGTTAATGCAGAATAATGTGGAAAGCTGATGTCTTAATCACATAATTTGTTGGGCTCAGAACCAAGCTGGCCCTGGGAGAACGGAGACCCATTTCTGGTCATGCATTATCTGCTCATTATCGCCAGAGTCTGAGCCAAAGTAGGGAAGAGGGTGGGAAAAGTTGGAGTTAAGACCTTAAAGATTCTCTGCAAAGGCCCACTGCTCATAGCCCAGTATCTCAGAGAATGCCCCAGAGTACTTAGTAATCAGTGTCTGTAAAACTTGCCTAAAAATAAAGGCTTCACGGAACTAACATCTTACACTGCTGACAAAGGACTTTCTGATTTGGTTCCATCCAAGATAAGAGCCTCTCTGTAAGGACAAAAGCATGTCAAGATAAAAATGGAAGTGGATCCAACAGAGCAGAGACAGCCTTTCCCAACCTAACACTCCTGTACCCAAGAGGTAAACAGGTGCATGTATTTCTCAGCCATGACCACTATGACAAGCTCAGGTAAATAGGTAATTATACTGACATTTCTCCAAATTGATCTTTCACAAACCTGCCTGATCATTTGAAAATGCAGATTCCCAGGACTCACTCCAACATGAGAAGTTGGAGTTGCTGGGGAGCAGTAGGAGAATGCAGCTGTGTAGCCAGCACCCAGCAGAGTGTCAGGCAAGTTTCAGAATAATGCTCCAAATGAAACAATAGGCAACTTTTTTAAAACTCCATAATCAAATAACTTCAAAGTTACACATAACTTCAAAGTTTATGTGGGAAAATCCAGGTTTAAATAGAAGGAAATTAGAGCCTTCTTTAGTTAAATTTAGGCAATATAACCAACATGTAAGGAGAAAACAGTTTAACTAAGTTAGCAAAAATGAAATAAATTTTAAAAACTTTCCCCTACAATTTCATCATATTTCAAGAGAAAGCCCTGCATAACCTGCCTGACCTAAGAAATCCCTGTACGCTACTCCTGGCAGGCGTTAGGGGGCCCAAAGCAACCCCAGGGCTGAGGCCCTTGGTCTCACCCCAGCAGAACCTGGTAGCAGGCAACCAATATCAAGTCGGACTCCACAGATGCCTCACAAGCAAAGTTCAGCCCTTACAGATTGCTGCTTCCGTCTGCCTGTTCCCTGCTCTCAGGCCCAGGCCATATTTATGCGAAGACTTGCCCCTCAAAGTGTGCTCCACAGGATAAGCAGTATCAGCATCACTGGGAGCATTCATTAGAAATGCAGAATTCCAGGCCCTATAGGCTGCATTTTAATAAGATTCTGGGTAATAATGGTACATAAATCAGAGAAGCCCTGCTGGAAGGGATGAGAGTACCAGTGTGACGCTTTCACCTCACCTATCCTCTATGCTCAAGCCTTGTCAGTCTTGGGTTGTCTTGGGCCAAATCACCATCAGCAGGTCCAACAAGTAGCTGACAATCTAAAGTTCAACTGTTGTAGTCAAAAGGAGTCAGGAAGTACTGAATGTCTCCTGTACTCTCATCAGATTCTTACATCCGCCTGCCTCAGAAGGCAGGAATATGAACCCTGTGACCATAAACAGTAGAGACAATCCAAAGTCAAACAATGCCATGGAATGCTGGCTCTTTTGATACAGCACAATGTTAATGAGGCCGGGGTCACGGGTATGATTAGCTTCCTCTCCGTCTTGGCATAGACTCCAGCCCTTTGCCCTCCGGCCACTAGCAAAGGCTGATACACTCTCAGTTACCAAGAGGACGTGAGGGCAATGACGAAAGGAAGCTGTGCACAGCAGCACCAGTAAGCAACTCAAAGGACTGGAATGGCTGATGTGCAGAATGTATCATGCAGCCCAGAGGGAAGGCTGGTGTGACGGTGACAGGGTCAGAATTCAAAATTATCTGAAAAAGATGGACATGCCAGACCTGAGAAAGTTGAAACTTTATAAGAAATAGGAAGTCCTGTGGTCACAATTTTTTAAATCAAGTATGTATAATCTAAGCCACAGCAAATTTAACTTCATGTAAATTCTTGCTTAAAAAAAAATCTTAAAACAGAAAGGTTTCTTGACCAAGGGGCTGCTAAGAAAGCATACTGTTACGGGGGCTACTTTTCAGATCAAGAGAAGCAGCAGTCTCCCACAGCAGGGCTGATCAGACTATCCTAAAACAGCCTCAGCTGCATGGCCACACAGGTGTATATATACCATCAAGCCTTCCACTGCTACCACAATTTGGGATCTTATCTAGTGTGGCCTTTTCACCAATACTGTCCCTGCTACAGCTCTTTTGGCATTGGATTATGATTTATATATTCTATACATCAATCTTTGGTGCTGCCCTTTTTTTACTAACAATAGAACTAGAGAACTAAGCATGGGGGGGCACATGAACAGACAAGACAACTTAAGCATACCCACTTACCAAAAAGATTCAGATCAAAAATGACTTACAGTCCGTTTTAGCCAGCATACCACACTCTCTACTACAGCATGCATTCATGCAGAGTCAGTAATTAGGTCAGTAAATTATGAGCTTCCACTATAGTGGAATCCTGAAAAGACTGCTATAAGAATGAGCAAATGAAAAAGTATCTGTTTAGACATACCTCTCCACATAGAATCATCTTCTAGGAATGGACTGTTGGCCATTTAAATAAAAGGATATGATTTTAGATTATTTTTAAGGTGGTGAGTCATGTTTGTTAAGCGTACATTTAATAAACACATGGTAGTCATTTATATATTCTGCTTACTGGTAAGTTGTAATTCCCAAACTACCTAGCCTGTTATTTTTCATTTCAGAAAATCTGATCTCTGGGGGTAAGAGAAAAATTAATTTTTAAGAAGTTATGTGGTCCTTAATAAGTTGGTGCCATGCACTACTTATCTAAAGATTAAATGACACTAATATCAATTACAGTTAGAGCCTTCCTTAAACAATTGGCTAAATGCCTCAAAACTGGAAAACAACATGTGAAATTCAGCCCAACTTCAGCATGCCCAGGAGAAAGGAAGCTTGAACTCCAGGTGCCCCTGACAACACAGCTCGGCTTGGTGTGGAAGAAAGAAAACACTGAACAATAGAATCAGTAGAGGAAAAGGAGTCCCTCTTAATTTTCTGGGTATGTGGGAAGGTTTCTGCTAAAGAGATATTTACAATCCCAATGCTGATCAAGTTTTACTGAACACTGGAACAATTAAAAAGGAAAAACCTAATGTGCCAGTATCGTACTTAATTCAATACTTCTTTTCAATTTAACAGAAACAACTCTCAAACGACACTTACGATGTTTATATCTACTCCAAAGAGTGCAATTTTCCCTACTGTTTGGAGGAAGTTGTCCTGTTCTTGCTTTGGGTCATAGCACCCACTCCTTGTTGTATTCTTGTAGCCTTCCAGTATTTGCATCTAAGTTTATAACAAGTA